CTAACTCCACTGCTGAATCCTCAATGGAAAGGGTTGACTGTTTGAAGTAGAAATGATCTGAAAATGTAGCCTGTCCTTTTAAGTCAGTTGACTTGTCGCACATCTCTTTGTAAGACTTGTATGGTACTGGCAGAAGAGTCGTTTTTAAGAAGCCATAGGCTTTTCCTTGTCCTTAGCTGTAATAATGCATCTGCCTTTGATTTCCTCGAGAGCTGTATTTCTGTCCATCACCTATGTGCTGGCCCCTGTGTTCACCACTCTGGCCTCCTCCACCTACTCCCCTGTCCTTTTGGAGTTTGTGACACTGGTTTGAAATGGAAGGTACTCTCTTGAGAGCAACTGAGATTGTTAGAATTAAATTCCAGCTGTACATTTTTCTAACATAGCACTATGGTCCTTGTTGCTGTTTGTGATAACTAATAGATAACTCATTGGAAACATGTGCATACATTTATATTCAGATGAAATTATGGTTTGCACTGTCTATTAAATATCTTGATTAATTTTCATACTTTGCCGTTGTGTTCAATCTATCATTTGCCTGTGAGAGCTGACCCTTTCCAGGCCACCTTGGTGTCCAGTGGAGTGTGGAAACATGGAAGACTTGTGCGTGACGTACAGCAACGATTTAAACTAAAGAGCAGAGCCTGTCTTACTAGAAACGTGCTCCGGTGCTGGAGGCCACCCATCTGTGGCCCTTGCTTCGCTTGGGACTCTGGGCACAGTTCAGGAGTGAGCTGGTTCTTGTGCAGCTCTAGGTCTTGCCTCGTTCTCTGTTGGTGTCTATGGGTAGTGTCTGCAGGACCCTTCACCTGTAGGAAGCCAGGGTGCCCCCACTAGTCCCAGGTCCATCTGTGCATTGAAGAAAGCAACCTTTTCCATGGGAAGAAGTACAGGGAGGCTGGGACATGAGTGTTAGTCTCGGGTGTGCTGCAGCTTACCATGTGACTTTGATCCAACCCCTCACTGTCTCTCCACTTCTCTTTAGAAAGGTGTACCCATGCATGTTCATCATTCACCTGCATGTAAGTCGGCAGGTTGGAGCAAGCCCCCGCCCCCATGCCTGTCCCCAAACCTCGTCAGGTGACAACCAGCCTGAGTTCCCACTCAGATGCCACCATCATGAACTGGGTGCCCTGGACAAGTTCCCACCTTCCTGGGTCTCATTTTCCTGTTTGTAATTCAAGGGGGCGGGACCAGGTCATTTCAGAGGCCCTGTCTGTAAAAGCTGCTCATGCCCTCATCCTCTTCCTCCATTGCCACGGAGACACTTAGAATTGGGATTTGATGACAGTGGTGTGAGAATTCCTAACTTGCACGGAGGTTGGATCTGGCTCTTCTCAGTAGTTCTCTTTCCGCCTTAAGAAGTATCGAGTTGCGACATTTACTGACAGCCTCTTCCTGCTCCGCCTGCAATTGCTGTGGCCTTCCCCCTGGGCATCACTTAGTCTGAGAGCTCCAGAGAGGGCCTTCTGCAGCTCTTCTCATCAGCCGCCCAGGTGCTTCTCACCGTGGGCCTGGGTGAGGGGAATTCCCAGACTCAACCATCTACTGCTGACAGGCCCAGAAACAAGATCTGGGGCTCCTCTGAGAAATAGCTGCTTATGCCGACTAGGGTATGCCTTGTGCCAGGACCTGTGAGATTCAGCATTCAGTAATACCCAGGCCCTTTTCTGCTCTCAGGAAGTTCTCAGTTGGGCAGGAGAGAGAAGTTACCCTGTCAGGATTTCTTGGCTACAAGCAACAGGAGACTCAACTTCACTGGTGTAGACCATAAAGACATCAATGTACTCATCCAAAATGTATTCAAGAAATATTTATTGAGCATTTGCTGTGTGCTAGGCACTCACTGTTCAAGGCATTGATAACCAACACAACAGACTAAGTTTCTGCTCTCATGGCATTTATGTTCTACCAGTCTCAGGATGTGAAATCTTAGAGGGAGGTGGCCTCTGAATTTGAGGCCACCATGTCTCTAGAACCAGGTTCTCTGCATCTTTCTGCTCTGCTGGCCTCAACGTACTGGCTTCTCTAACCCTCTTAAGGCTTGCTGGCTCTTGGTCATGAGATGGCCCATCCTTACACTCAGGGTCAGGAAGCAGAAGGATCTGGAACCAGCCAGTCTTCCTCTCACCTCTGCCCATTCTAACAGAAGGCAGGCTTTTTCCCAGAAGACTTCACACAAACATCCCTATGTCTCAGGAGCCATAGCTGTCATGTGGCCACTTCTTGCTGCAAAGAAATCTGGGAAAGTGAGTACCGGACAAGAGTTAACGAGACTGGTTGAGGCCAATCAGCGTTCTCCCCTAGGGCTGGGGGCAGGGCCTCCCTTCCCTGAGCACATTACTGCTTACTGGATTCTTGTGTTAGCAAGGAAGAAGAGGGGATAGTTTCTGCATAGGTGGCACCAAGGGCATCCACCGTGGGGGTAGACACCAACAGTACCAGACAGATTCATGGTTGGTTAGTGCTACCAAAGTTTCTTCTTAAAAGCAAATGCAATTGTGACACATGTTCCTTTAAACCTCTCGGTCTGCCTCCACCGATGCCTCTTCTGTGGTCAGAAAACTAAAGGTGCATTGGAATCCCACCTAGAAAGCTTGGTAAAAATGCAATCTCCTGGACTCTGTCCCCAGAGCTGAGTGAGGGTCCAAGAATTTGCGTTTTAACAGACTCCTTGGGTGATTCTGATAGAGGTGGGCCCACACTCTGGGACACTCAGGTCAACAGGATCAAGTCCTCAGAATGGAATACCTGGCTCCCATGTTCACCTCCCCCATGTCTCTTCCAGAATCCCATCATACAGAATTTCAGGGCTCCTGGAGCATGTGCTCTCAGCCTCTGAGCCTTCACACAGGATCTATCCAGTCCCTTGGCCATATTCTCCTGACTCAGCTGGACATACCTTCCTTCAGGGAGTTAGTGCTTTCTCCTTTGCTCTCCACTGCTAATAAGTGGAGATGCAAATAAATTTCCTGTCCTATGGAAGCCACTCACATATTCATTCATCCAACAAATGTATTTTGAGCACCTCTGGGTCAGCTCTCATAAAGCTCATGGTTTGGTGGGGAAATCAGGCAGGCCATAGCCATCCTCCTCTTCATCATAATCACCACCAACCAAAAAACCAAACCCATTGCTATTGAGTTGATTCTGACTCATGGCAATCCCACATGGCAGAGAAGAACTGTGCTCCATACGGTTTTCACGGCTGTGACCTTTTGTAAGCAGACTGCCAGGCCTTTCTTCCAAGATGCCTCTGGGTGAGCTTGAACTGCCAACCTTTCAGTTAGTTGAGCACGTAACCATTCACAACACCCAAGGACTCCTAATTGCCACCAGAGGTTGGATAATCAATGCCAGACAATGCACCTAGAAAGGCTTAGTGGAGGAAGTGCTATCTCAACTGAGATTGAGGGGTGATGAGGACTCAGCAAGGGAAAAGATATAAAAGACAGGGAAATAGGAAGAGTGTGTTCAACAGCTTGTGCAGAGGCCATAGGTCACCCTGGACTTGTTTGTGGACCTGAGCTGGATTGTGACAGAGCTGTTCCCTTATCATATGGCTGCATCAGAATCCACCCTGAAACTTGGCGGAGAAAGCAACCAACCATCATGGGTCAGGAAGTTTGAAAGAGCCCCATAGGGACCACTTGTGTGCTCCAGAATAACTGGGGCCTCACCTGAAAGCACTTGAGGCTGGGAATGACTCAATGGCTGGAGGCTGGAACCATCTGGAGACTTCTTCACTAGAATGTCTCACAGTTGATGCTGCTTGTTGCCTGGGGCCATCAGCAGTAACATGTGGCCTCTTCATGTGGCTTGGGCTTCCTTACAGCCTCATTGTAGTCAGACTTCTCGCATGACAGCTCAAGGCTCTGAAGGTGATTGTCCCAGCCAACAAGGTGGCGAAGCTGCACCACTGCTTGTGTCTTGGCCTTGGAAGTTTGTAGGGTTGCTTCATTGCATTCTGCAGGTTATAAGTGATCAAACCACCCAGATTCAAGGGGAGGGGAAGTAGACTCCACCTCTTGATGGGGGTGTGCTGTGTATGGAGGACAGGAGATATGTTGGGGCCATCTTGGGGAAACACAGAATGCTCCAATAGCTAACATTGAGTGTATACTACATGCCAGGTAATGTTCTAGGCACTTTATATATATATATTAACATGTGGTCTCTGAACTCCAATTGAAAGAATATTTTTGAATATACACTAT